ACGTAAAAAGTGGTTGAATAATTTATATGAAAATTTTATGCGGTACTGAGAGAGACTCTACTTGCAGACACATGCATAATGTAACAGTACATTGTATTACTTTCAAAATTACAATTCTAGATGATTTTTATTATATTTATAATATAATAATAATAATTTTCTACCACATTCACACAACGCCATCTAGTCCCAAACTTGAGAGCTCGTAGTATGGGTACTAGACAACTGATATAAATACATATATACTTTTTTTTGTAAATACATACATTTCATACATAAAACCTTTACCTGTTTTTATACATTTTTAACAAATTCTCACCTTAAGCTTTTTGTCTGATGACAGTGATTAGGAATAGTCAAGGTCTCCATTTCTATAGCTATTTTTTACTAATATGATATTATGGCCAAAACAAAGCTATTGAGATTTACCTCGTTGTCACTGTCCAAACTTAAATCTATTCCTATTTCCGGACCGATACGACCTTCAAAACTTCAAGGAAAGAGCGTACTATTTCCTCAAAGGCCGGCAACGCGCTTGTGACTCCTGAGTTGCAGGCGTTAATATACGGCGGTAGTCGCTTTCCTTCAGGTGACACGTCTGCCCGTTTGCCTTCTCTTTCATAACAAAAAACAACCTATTTAAGAAAACCAAAGTTCTCCCAACTTTATATATTGACAAGTTTATAGAATCTTCCATAATCCACGATGTCATTACTTTTTTGAAATTTTACCTTTCTTTAGTCTACCTTTCCCTTAACTTTATTTATATTTATAAGATAAATAGATGTAGTAGAAATAAAATAATATAATCATCATCATCATCAGCATATCGCAGTCCACTGCTGGACATAAGCCTCTCCTATTGCACTCCACTTCGATCAATTTTCGGCTTCTCGCATCCAGTTCCTGCTAGCCATCTTACGCAAATCGTCACTCCTTGTTTTTCACGTGGGAACCCCCTATGGGCCTTCACCCCACCGTGGTTTGCGGCGGGGTGGTGTTTTGGAATCGGACCGACCAAAACCACATGGTGTGCAACTCAGCGCCTGTAATAGGAGGGATCCGGGAACTGCTTTTATTAAGACATTCGGACCTCTCCTAGGGCCTGCCCGCAATTCCACTTTCGGGTCACGCGGTCGTAGCCTCCTCGTGGTTGGCCGTTATGGAGTGTGGAGTGGAAAATCCGTCCCGTCCACACGCAGCCACACTCAGGGCGGCATGAGGCGGTGGTAAGCGTGCCTCCGCCGCCGGTTTTGCCGGCGAAGGATTCGTTCCGGGTGGAAGTTATCCTCCCGGGCCCTCTTCGCCGCCTCCTACTGTGAGATGACGTCTTCAAAGAAGGATGCAACCACAGTGAAACGTCTGTCACTACCGGTCATAGAGCGTATGACGGCCGGTAGCGAGAGATTCCCCGCGATGACTGCAATGAAGACCGCCATCCGCGAAGCCGGGCAAATTGCCATCGTGTGCTGAGCCGAGTCCTCACTGCAATCGCAGTGGTGAAAGGCGGGACTCAATTCTTCCCGAAGCAGCCGTGCCCGGAAAGGACATGCTGCCGCCCTGCCTAGTCGAAAATGACCGGCTGGAGCAGCTCCACGGTGGCAAAGCCAACACGTAGAGCCCCCAGCCGCGAAGACCAACGAGCCATCGTGGCTCGACGAGCGACCTCACGCCACTCGCGTATCTATTCGGGCGGGGTCCACCCAAATTGGGTAAAAGTTGCTCTAGAGCAGATGCAGCGCCGACCAGCTTTGGAGCAAGCTGTCGGAAGTGCTCGTCGAAAAGCCACCTCCCGTCGAGGATCAGACCCAGATACTTCATCTGGGCCTGAACCGGAAGGAGACCGAGTTGACTACGATTGAGGCGCTATGGGTTGGACCACGACGGGGCCATTGAATAAAAGGGCCTCCGTCCTATCCAGAGCCAACCGTTAGCCCAGTTGGTATTGACCGCTAAGCCCAGCGCCTCAATGCGCCCGACCACCAGAGAGACTCCCCTGGTGGCCAAATGCTGCCTCTTGAAAGTTCGCCCACCGGGCTGTGACCAAAGTATCATCGGCGTAATAAATTACACCCAGCCCAGGGGGAAAATCAAGTGACACCGCCAACAGCACGCCACCACAGCTTACCGCCTTTTCAGTCACGGCCTTCAGGCGCAGCACAGCGCCGACCGTCGAACGCCCGGCTGGAAAACCGAATTGGGCGTCCGACAGATCGGGGCCCACTTCGTAGAGGTGGCGGTCGATTCGGGCAGAGAGTACCCTCTCAAACAATTGACTCGCCTCGTCCAGCTACACGATGGGCCACGACCGAATCAGCAGGCCGTCTTAGCTTCCTTAACAGGACCAGCTTCCTGCTCTTCCACAATCAGGACTCAGGGACACGCTCGGTCGCCAAGCTAGCGTCGTACACCACCGAGGTGGTCTAACATGTGGTCGAGAGCTCGGGCCAGCACACGGTATCACGTCTGGCCCGGGGGTGGTGTTCTTCGAGCGGATCCGTAGAACAGCCGCCCTTACCTTCGACCAAGGAGGTCTCCAATCACGAACTCGTTTACCCCAACGGTTGTCCGTTCTGCGGATAATATGGCCGGCCCACTGCCACTTCAGCTAATATATAATATAAATAATTGATAAAAATAACTAAATGCCTCCCACACACACCCTGCCTATGGGCTCAGACATCTCAAAATAGACAGAGCTTGTATTATAGTAAATAGACTGCTGATAAAGATTTTTTTCTTTTTATTATTCGATTTGTTTTCAATATTCGCAAGTATCACCGTGTCTATGCTTTTCATTCCTACTTGAAATGGCCCCCAATTCGACAGCGCTGTAGTTTGCGAGTCCTAACTTCTCTTTTTTCTTTTCTCAACTCATCTTCGTTGCCAGATTACCTAGTTCCCGACTCCCATTTGTTATGCTTCAACTACTACCTAAATCTGCGGTCATCAAGTAATATGCTTCTTCTATGGCCCCCTACCTACCTACAAATATATCAATTCTTCCTTCTATTGGCGGTTAGTTCCTCGAAATCAAAATGGCCACAAACCACCATACATTTCAGGATAAAATGCAGCCTGAGTAGATGCAGGTTCCAGGTCAGTTATTTCACCTGTCTTAGCAAGTGTCTCCAACTTGTCTATGATCGTTACTTTGGTCTATAAACTGCTGCCTGTTATAACCTGTTCAATTCGGCTTTCGTACATCTAAAAGTACTAACTTTAACTCTAATAAACTCTACAGAAACAAATGTATAACGGTGTTTCTGGACGTTGACCTTTCTTCCCAAAGGCATTTGATACAGTATCCATCCCACACATTTTCAACAAGTTGAATCACCTCCACTTAAGAGAAATCACTATTAAATTAATAGAAGATTGTCTCACTGATAGGAAACAATGATTTTAAATAGCAATCACAATGAGTGATGCATTGCCTATGAATTTTAGTATCCCAAAGCGCAATATAATGGGTCCGACGTTATATCTTTATATATATATTTCTTCTGTGAGTGTGTATGTCACTGAACTTCTCTCAAACGACTGGACCGATTTTGATGAAATTTTTTGTGTGTGTTCAAGGGGATCTGGGAATGCTTTAGATTCACAATTTTGAATGGTAAGGGTGACCCATCCCTAATTTTTTTTTGTTGCAATACAACGTTTGCCGGATCAGCTAGTTTAATATAAATCAATGACTTTTGAATGTAATTTATTAAAATAAATGTAATTGAAATAAATCACAACTTCCAGTCTACAGGAAGGAAATGTGCTGACGATACGGCACTGTTGTTTAGTGCTGGTAGTTAAGAATATGTGTCTCATGCTGTACAATCAGGTCTGAATAAGGCAAAAATGTGACTGCATAGAAACGTTTTGACATTGAACGTTACTAAAACGAAATACAAAACTTTCGCGGACAGAGTTAACCTACTCCCATCCACTTAATTAACTATATCAGTGCATGCCTGTGACAACATGTCATAACGTGTCAACAGTATAAAATGCCTAGGTGTCATTATTGACCAACACTTAACCATCAAAACTCCTATAGAGGTCCTTATTACAATACTTAGTAATTTTATTTTTTATCAAAACCATAAGGCACTCTGCAGATTGAAACTCCATTTAGATAGTCTATTATCAATCACTAATAGAATACTGCATTATATCATGGGGAGGTGCGTCCAAAACCTGATAAAAATCGAGAACCCTCAGCGCGCTATTCTTAAAGTTGATTCTTACCTCTCTTTACGATTTTGTACTAAAGAACTGTACAAAAGATCTAACATTATTGGTCTTCCTCCCCTTTATCTTCTTCCCACATTTAGTGATTAGTATATTAAAGTCTGTATCTACTAACCACTCAAGATTACGAAATTATTTACATTTTACTTACAATTAAATTTCTCGGCATTATCAAAATACAAAAAGTAATACACTTCGCAGAAGCCTTAATACTTTACCATCATATGTCATCCTCGCAATGACCCCGCAGTACTCAGAAGTTTAAAACACAATCTTCTCCCAGTCATTCCGCAAATACATTATATTAGGACTTGAATTCAAGAGAGTATATTGTAGAATTCATGAAGCTTAGTCATTGAAACCAACTTCGAACTGTGTTACTTACTCATAATATCGCCGAAATAGGAGTTTTTGTGGGATCTAAAATAAACTTTAATTTAAAATATAACTACTCAGACCCGGTTTTCGGTCTGCCCCTTTATTATTTTGCTATTTTATCTGGTCCAAATTTCAAAGACACCGAAATGTTTCTAAAATGGTCCAAACATTGAACCGTAACAAAATAGTAACAATGTATCGATCCCTATTCAATAAGTCAGTATGACAATATAAAAATTGTGCTCCGTAATTCTTTTAGAAACAACATAATAATATATTGTGACATTTTGGATACATTCTAAATGTTTGACATGTTTGATTGGATTTTTAAATCACTATTCGCAATATAAAATTATAATTTATTGTTATCAGTGATGGTGGTGGGCCATGGATGTGCGCGTATGGCGCTGCATTGGGCAGCGCTGGTTGCGTGCGCGCTGGTGGGGGCATTGGCGCCGGAACGGCTAGAACCGTGCACTGGCAGCCCATTGTGCTCCTGCCGCGTTGCACATATGTCCTGCATTGCCGTACCACTACACAGATTCCCAGGTATAACTACATGATCACGAGCAATAGTTTTCATAGAAATTATTAGGCAATCGAAACCACAATGTAAATCAGACATATTCAAGACTTAACAACTAATGAAGTAATATAAATAGGCCTTATGTATTAAAAAGGAAATGAATCACAGCGGAAGATAAATTAATTTAGATATGGTCACACCAAACCTCTCTTCCCAACCATCAAACCCATTTAATTGTTGTAATTAGTTTATAAATAGTTGCAAAACAAGTGGCTTACCAACCATTCAAAGGCCTGTATCAAATATGTACGACTAAGAAATATTTATTACACAACATGTTAAAAACAATTTAATCAAACTCTTTCTCAGAATAATTGTACGCATTGTCATATTATTATGTTACTTATGCCTAATATCTGAATATTTTATACAGTGTGAACTAAACAAAAGTGTTCACTCCAAATAACATTAATAAGTTAGATAGTCTCTATTATAATTATAACAAAATAAATTGCAGAATTCGAAAATCGAACACATTCAATCTAAAAGTCATACTCACAAAATAAATTAAATTCATGATGGCGGATATTGCTGTGGCTTATCTAAACCGCAGCTATTTACATAAAAATAGTTTTACGAACGAGCTCTTTGAATTTTTGTGTATAAAATATGGTTCCATGCATGTACTTACACATAAGCTTTCTAAGGTCGTCATTAGAACCATAATATAGAGGAATAAATTCAAACAATTTTTAATTGTGTTTTATAAGACTTTTAAGGTTATTAATGGAAATCCTAAATTAAATTCTACAACTTTGTAAAGTCATTAAGTGTGGCTTGAAACTATGTACCCCTTTAAACTTCTCTTGCAGAATGGCCACGGATAGAACTACAACATCTAGATATAAGCATGTCTAATCTAGAAGTGCTGACAGAAAGTGCTTTGGACGGACTGAGATTGCAAACATTAGTCTTAGTTGCAAATAAATTACATTACATCGAGATGCACGCATTTAGGTAACTCTGTGTTTTATATTTCGTTATAATTTCTTAAATTTTAATTCAAAATCAAGTGAGAAGCAACATTAAATAAAACTCATTAATTTCAGCTCCATGGCTAGTACTCTTGCATCTTTAGATCTCGGTTACAACGAATTCACTGAAATACCACAGCAGGGCTTAAGAGACTTAAAAGTTTTAAACTGGTTGAATCTGCAGAAGTAAGCAAAGTTTCTAACTAAATTCCATTAAACTTTCACTGTGGAGTTGATTGAATTGATTAATATTTTATTCTTTTATTTTAGCAACAATATAGTAAACTTAGGACCAGAAATCAAATGGCATCATTTAGAAGAAACCTTGACGAGTTTATCTTTGGGCAACAACCAGGTGACCCAATTGAAGTCTCAAGCACTGACGTCACTATATCACCTTCTGCAACTTGACCTGGAGGGAAACCACTTAAGATCCATTACAGCAGACTCCTTACCGCTTTCCTTAACACTTCTCAAGTTGTCCAACAACTTTATACATGAATTATCCTGTGATTTACTTTATAGTCTACCTAGGTTACAATCTGTACATGTGCGTCATAATTTTATTAGCTTCAGAGATAACTTTGTTTGCCCTAGTAATAGAACAAAAAAGATTGAAAAGTTTGATTTGAGTAATAACAAAATTAACGACACTTCTCAAATACTTTTACTACGGGATGTCCAAATCAGACAAATAATTTTAGACCTAAACGAATTAACTACCATTCCGAAATCGGTTTTCACATATAACAGGATAGAAAAGTTGTCCGTATCATACAATATGTTGACTTCAATAAGCCGAGACCTATTTATGTCGTTGAAAAACTCACTAGAACATCTGGAACTAGAGCACAACAAATTGTTCTATTTGCCGGACAGCTTGGCTCAGGTCGTTCGACTTCGTCATTTATCTTTAGCTTACAACCAGTTAGAAGAATCGCCCGCTCTCCCAAGAAGGATTCAGACGCTCTCGATAGCGGGCAACTTTTTAACTTCAATACCCTCCGCACTTCAAACGCTCGAATCTGGTTCTATTCGTTATCTCGACTTGAGCTACAACAGGATATCTAATTTGTTACCAAACGAATTTCTAGACTGGTCTACCTCTCTTGGGACTATCAACTTAAGAGGTAACAGGATTGCACAGATCTATAAGAACGTTTTCCCGGCAACTATGCCATTGAAAGAGATAAATCTAAGTTTTAACGACTTATACTACGTGCATCCACAATCTTTTTCGAACGTGACTAGTTCGCTTCATGTATTAGAATCGTCTTCTACGCTATTTAGCGGTTATTTTCCTTTCGAAATTGAAGAAGGGCTTGAAAATCTCAGTTGGCTATCGTTTGATAATAATGATTTTCATATTCTAAAATTGTCGGATATGGTTGCATTTTCATATCTCAAATATTTAAATTTGGATTATAACAGGATTGTTGATGTCGTTATAAGTGAATACTATAATAATTCTTCACTCTCTTTAAGCAACTTGAGACTTGCGTATAATTTTTTGGATTCACTCCATAGCAGAAGTTTTACATACATGCCGGAGTTAAGAAACTTAGATTTATCTTATAACAGAATCAACAACTTAACTAAGCACACTTTCGCTAATTTACCAAACTTAAGATATTTATCTCTTGCGGGCAATATAATCGATTCGATGGAAACTGAGACGTTTGCTAATTTACCAAAATTAGAAATATTAGAACTCCAAGGGAATAACTTTACGTATTTATCACTAAACCCATTTCATAACATATCTAATATAGACATTACATTCACGTTGAACGTTAGCAGAAACCGTATCAAGTACATTGATGGGGACTCTAACATCTCTGTTAATATATTTGATGGATCCTATAATGATCTGTACGAAGTGCCAAACATTTTTTTTGTAGCAGTTGAGACATCAATTAGGCAAATTATTTTATCGCACAATGACATTGCCCATATCTCAAATGAAGCCTTTGGGAATGCAATTTATTTGGAAATACTTGATTTACATAAAAATAATATTACTATCATTAAGAGGAAGTCTTTCACAGACTTAATATCTCTACAGATACTGGATCTATCATTTAATAAGATTTCTCAATTATCTGTTGAGCAGTTTTATAATTTAAATAAGTTAAGGTATTTAAAATTAGATCATAATAATTTACGTTTACTACCAAGAGATGTATTTAAGAACACTATTATAGAACATTTGGATATGAGTTACAATGACATGCCTCTCTTTCCCGGCACGGCTCTATCGCAAATTGGTTTTACCCTTAGATACCTTGACTTATCGCACAATCGCTTAGAATATTTAGACAGTAATATATTCCGAAGTACGCAGTTTCTATTGAATTTAAATTTAGGACACAACCTATTAACAGTATTATCGGATAACACTTTCTCGAGCCTCGGCGGACTGCGTCAACTGGACCTGAGCTCTAACTCCATAAAAGCAAACTTCAAAGAGTTGTTTCATAACCTTCCTAGCTTGAGGCATTTGAATCTTGCAAATATAAGCTTAAAGTCAGTGCCTTATCTACCTTTGACAAACTTAACTAGCCTCAATTTGACGTCAAATTACATTAACAGTTTTAAGGAAATCGATGTAAAGCGGTTAGCAAGTCTTCGCCATTTAGATCTAAGTCATAATCGTCTTACTTCTTTAGTGCCAAAGATGTGGTTTCACTTAGGTAGTTTAAATATTCTCGACCTGTCACATAATCCTATTGTAAGAATCACGCCAAATAGTTTCAGATGGTTGAGTAATCTATCTCATTTGAATTTAAATGGACTGAAATTCTTAGACATAGTTGACCAGGATTCCTTCCGTCCCTTGATATCGCTACGGTCATTGCATATCCAATCGTGGTCTACTATAAATCATTCCACGTTCCGCATTTCCAATATCACTTCTTCCCTCCCCACCTTGTACAAATTAGTGGTACATTGGACAGATGAGATCATGGACAATCAATTACATGGGATCGATGCAAGAAACATTCGTTATCTAGAAATTAGGGGAACGAATCTGAAAAGAATATCAGATGAAGCTTTTCAACCATTTGCCGATAGTCAAGAGATATTTATCAGGATAACAATGACTTCGCTGACAAAATTGCCAACAGCGTTTATGAAGCACTTGGGACAAGTGCCGCAACTCGGCATTGATTTGAGCTATAATCAACTGACGACTCTTAATCCTGCCATTTTCTATCCTAATTTCACAAGCTGGAGTCATGTCGCCACAAAATTATTCTCAGGTACGGAAATACGGTGTTTTGTTTATTTTAGAGTATCTAATATAACCCGAGTTAAAACGGTAGCAGGGTCATCTGCCCTCGCCCGGATAAAACATATTAAATAAGATAAAGTTTTCATTTCAGAGAGATGATTTTATTTTACCCTCCATATCTGCGGCTAGGCTTAACGAAGTTGAGAACCTGCATTTTTTCGCTCGTTTAAATTTTTACAAGTTAAACTTAGTTTAATGTTAGTCTCACCAAGCTAAGAGAAGAGCATATTTATTCAACATCGCATAAAGTTCTTAAACATACATATAACAGGCAGCTTGAAACTAATATAAATCCAAAATTTACCGGTTACTATACCACTAAATATCTTTTGAAAACAATTTAAATATTCCATAAGCTTATAATTAACGTCGCGATATCTCTAAAACGAGTTAAGTTGTTCGTTAAATATGTACAGTCGCGCAAGTGAACCACAAGCAAATGCTAGTATTTTATTAAAATTTACTGAGCCTCTCAACGAATGAGCCGGGCAACTCTTCTTAATGAGTTTTAATTCTTAATACGCCACTCGAAACTTTTCTAGATGAGGTAAATCGTCTACTGTTTTATTAATAAATTCGGTGTCCTTTTGTAGGAGGGCTGATACTGACTGGAAATCCTTTACGATGTGAATGCGAGCTAGCATGGCTTGGCGCGTGGCTCCGACGATGGCTACAGGAGAATGAGGCAGGAGCAGAGCTACGTCGCGCTGTTCGGAGTGGTACCTGCAAAGATCCTGCAGGAAGACGCGTGTTTATCCTCCAGTTGCGCGCTGACGAAGCAGAGTGCCATGCCAGCGCACTTTCCAGCGACGCTCAGCCACACTACACCCGTGCTGTTTATACCCTTGCTAGCGCTCTCTGGGCTCTTTTACTCAGATGATGTCTATTCTAATACCTAAATTTTATATTTAATAGTAAGTAATGGATGTAAATATGTTTTAACACCACCAACTTTAATGTTTGCAATCAAATTGTAGTTGAATTTTATACACGGTACGATTAAAGATTTTTGTAGGCAACGTGGACGTGTATCTATAAGCGAAAAAATAATAAGTTTAATGTCTATTTAATAATACCTACTTCAATGTGTAAAGGTAGATACGTATTATAATGTTGATAAGTTTTTCTAGGTAATTCCATAGGTGTTGTATAAACACTATAGATTGCTCACTCAATACGACTATTTCGAAACGTTAATATAAAATGTAGGACAGCCTGTAATATTTCTTGATTTATTTCATATGATAATACATAAATATATACGTAATAAACTTTGAACGTATCTACCCTATTGTGGCTACAAATTGTTATTCTTTTGTGAATTTACTTTATTCTAATGTAAATATGTACAAAAGTAAATATTTTTACAAAATACAAATACTTTCCTTTTATATACAAGCCTACTGCCACGTTTCTTAAGAGAACAGATTCACAGGAATCCTGGCAAATGTTACACAATTTCACGGGGCTTCGTTTATCAAAAGCGTAAGCTTTGTGATTTCAACTGTGGGCATCTAACCTACTTATATTACAATTTACATTGTAATTTCTCCTACAGACATTTCTGAAACATTTTGGTTAATCCCGTACAAGAATCTCAAAGCTAATTTCTAAAAGCTTTATAATTTTTTAAGTTCATTGTTGTAAAAGTCAAACCAATAGTCAATAGTGTAAACAGGTTATAGGAAATGATGGAAATGCGTTTCAAATGTATGGTGATATGTAAATAAAACAGGGGAGGATTAGTGGTTCTGTGAATATAAATCAAAACGTAGCCAATGAATACATTTAATTTCCGAACTGCCTTTGATTCCGTATCGATGCGCCGGCTATTTCGGTTGTTGTTAATGCGCCAGAATTAATTTAATTGGTATGAATTGCCAATGTTTACATATTTATTAGTATATTGATTTCTTTTTCTTATTGCCTGAGTTTGTACAACAAATGACTGAAAATAATGATTGTTACAGACATATGTGTGACAAATTGTCGAAACAAATTGAAAATTAGTTCACCTACAAAGCATAGCAACGTCCTATGAATAAAAAAGTGATCTTATATTTTAATCATTTCGATCAATGTAATAAATATGTATTCTGTAATAACCACAATGTACAGACATCCGACCTGTTTGGTTGGATTTGCTACGTACGTAGTCTTGGCAAAGTTCCTTTGATAGTTTCGCATATAAGGTATTGTTGTTGTAAAACAGATATACATAATTTGGGCAGAAGTTCATAAATCATGGAATTCAATCAGACTGAACTGAGATCTTAATTTTTGGTTTAAATGTTATTGGTATTCTTATTTTTCTTTTCTTCTTTCCTATCTATTAAGCGCTTTTGTTATTGCTATTTAAAATTTATATTCAGTAAGCTATACTATACCTATTCTGTGGTTATAAACATACTAACATTTTTCTAAATTCATACATATTATTGGTAAATTACACCCAGACAGAGAATAATTGATCATCACACAATTATTTGTCCTGGGTGGGAATCGAACCCACGACTTTTGGCTTAGGAGTCACGATCACTAGACCAACAGGGCCGTCGGTGTATAAAATATGCAAAAGGCGTGAAGTGTAGCTATCAAAAAAATCTTGTTTACGAAAATCTAAACTTGAATTAACTTGAATTAACTAAATGACAGGCAATTGTAATCAAATCTATTTTGCGAACAATCTTATTTTTATTTTATTATTTAATCAAATAACTAGGACTCACATTAAAGTATACTAACTTTATCTATACTTTATTACTTATTATTTACTTTATTATATAAAGTTATTAAACTTATGAACTATTGTTAGTAACATATTATTAGTAACACCTAAAATACACAAAAAACTACATACTACAAATACATAGGCTTGATCGAGCACACATGGCCCGCTGCCGCTCCATCCCATGTGAGAGGGCGCAACATCGGCCCACGTATGCAATCAAGTAAGTCAAGCTCATTTGCAATCATGCTTAGGGTGCTGTTGAAGCTGGACCACACTATGTGCACCAGGGATCCACACCTCTTACGCATAGTTGCGTAGAAGCAAGCTACCCAAATCGAGTGACGATTTGTGCAAGATGGCTGGCAGGAGCTGGATTCGAGAAGCCCAAAATCGATCTAAGTGGCGTGCAATGGGAGAGGCCTATATCCAGCAGTGGTCTGCGATAGGATAGAAACATAAACGATGCACTATAAAAGCGGTTCAGCCAAACCATCACCCTAAACGCATCGTTGTATTGAACAAGGAGAGCGTTGTACGAATTTGGAGTAAACCTAGCCCACAGGCAGCAGCAAACCTACGGGCTAGCATGGTCGCTCTAACAGACGACGGCCTCCGCTCTCGTTCAATGTCAAGGTCGTCAGTAAGGTCGGGGGTTAATATGTGACCAAGATATTTCTATTTTACACTTTTATTTACTTTTATTATTATTTCTTCTACCCCTGGCAAAAGACCATGACCTCAGACTTTTTTACATTATATTTCAAACCATGTGTTTAGGAGTATTTTGCACAGATGGCTACCAAGGTTTTTGAGCCCACAAACTGATGCACTTATCAGTGCCATATCATCAACACGGTTGATGTTATTTACGCATACGCCATTTATGTGACACCCAAGTATAGTGGTGCTCAGGTCGCCAATCAAGTCATTTACATACAAGTTGAAAACCGTAGGCGAGCTCAGGCCTCCAAGCCTTAGCCCGCATTCCAACCCATACGGCAGTGACAGGGCTAAAGCCCATCGCACGCTATTGGTCTGGTTTCTATATTAGAACTTAAGAATGATTGATAAATTGTTATCCGCTTACATTTTCCATAACACATCATATGAAATAAGAACAAAAGAGCGCGACAGATCAAGGAAGCAAGCGTCTGACGTTGCGTATAATATCTGACCGTGTGAAGACACATCACCGCGCTCTCTGTTGATAAACCGGGTCGAAATCCTAACTGGTTGTCATGTCATTGAAAATGTAATAACACATTCAGTTGCGTATTAATCACACTGTCTAAAATTTTCGAGAAAACAGTGGCTAGTGGAATTGGCCTATAGTTACCGCTGTTTGCGAGGTCTCCAGTCATATTCTTAGTGATGGGTACCACTATTGTTCGCATTATCTCGCTGTGCATGTAGCTATGGCCAATGCACGAGCTATATAATATGCCAAGAACTTTAGCTATGTGTGGCCCTGCGTATTTCAGGTGCTCGATGCTGAACCCGTCATGGGCAGAAGATTTTCCTCTCGACATCGATTTAGCAGTTTGTATAATTTCTTTTAATTCAATTTTAATCTTCAGGGCTAAACCTCACTTAACATCGAATTCCGATTGAGACGGCTCTAACGGCGATTTAATAGAAAATTGGTCTTCGTTGTTAAAAATTGTTGTTGGTATAAAGTGACAAATTATTGTTATACCGTGACAGGATTGAATTATCGACAACTGTTCAATAACTTATATTGAACTAGTTCGGCATCAATCTGTAATTGTCCTATTGTTAAACTCTGGTCTCCTATACAGATCAAAGGAGTTTAATTAAGACAACTCCAAAAGCGATGGTAACAACATCACACGTAACTAGTAGTGTCATAACTTTGTTTACCTTATTTCCTACTACAATTAACATTTCAATTAGTTGTAACGTGCCGGTTTAAATATGGTTAATCCTATTAAACCATATGTTTACCTTTTTTCCAATGTTTTTTTCCAACCATATGTTTTTTTTTGTGATATAATAACATCTCAAACCATACTACCATACTTAAACAAACTACTTGAAACGTTAACAATATAGCGTCAATTTCTCCAAAGAAGAAAAGATCAGCGCTACAGTATAATTCAATAAAAACTCTGTAGAAAAGTTAGAAAGGATATATTCGTAAAAGCAACAACATTATTCCGTAAAAAGGCATCTCAGTACGAATATAAATCTGCCCACTCGACTCTTACATAGATAATGGTGAATAGTGGAGCAGTGGAGAGAACGTGCTAGTGCGACGTGTGACAAGATGGATCTACTATATCATTGTTGCGCTGTTTGCAATTAACTTGCCCTCTGAGCTATTTGTCTCCCCACCATTGCTTTTTAGGAACGTTGGAGAGTTGTATAAATTGTAACACTTTCTAAATATCCCTAATCCTAAAAGCATAAAGTACTGTATCGTATAACCTCAACAATATTTCTCAGTAAATATAACTAACCGCTGATCTACTACGTGATAGGGCAACTTAGTAATCAACAATAGTATTCAATTATTTCGGTGTATTATAACAAAAAAAAATAACACTTTTAACATAATTTTAATATTCTCTCACAAACACCCATATGTCATACAGACTAACATATAAATATATTTAAATGATTAACATCTAATAGTACTACATATTATCTAGCTTACTTGCAAACAAAACATCATACTGTAGATGCAGTTAACGTGATTGATATCTACTCAGCATACAATATTAAAAACAGTTTATCATAAAGCTTGTGTACCGATTTTGTTACTAATATTATAACAAATAAATTTTAAGTAGTGTGAAAGTCTCTTGGGAGGTACATTTTATATCAACGATAAGGTAACTTTTGAGGCCTGACTAATCTGTTCAAAGAACAGGCCTACTTTGCTATTGGGCATTTGCTTTAATCAGGAGTAAGTGCAACTATTGCAACGTCATAAAACAATATTTTATGGTAAATTGAAACGTTTTGTGGTGGACGCGCGGTGTAACGAAGCCGAATACGATCTAAAAACAGTAAGTCTCATGAAGCGAAGGCCGCGTGACTACACTGGAAACTTAACGATACAATCATCCATATCCAGCCATAGATCTAATAAGGCAGACAAAAGACACGCTGGAGAAATGTGGTGC